ACCTTAAGAGAAAATATTTTATTTGGAGAGTCGTACGATGATCCAAGATACACCAGAATAATTGAGGCATGCGCTCTCACAGAAGACTTTCAGCGGTTTCCGAACGGTGACCAAACCGTTGTTGGTGAGCGCGGTGTCGTTCTGAGTGGTGGTCAGCGTGCAAGAGTAAGCTTAGCACGCGCAGTGTACGTGGATGCAGACCTTTACTTGTTGGATGACCCTCTCAGCGCGGTGGACTTCAAAGTTGGTCGGCATATCTTCGAAAAGTGTATTAAGGGCTTGCTTAGCGAGAAGACCCGCCTGTTAACTTCTCATCAAGAACGACACATGAAAGATGCAGACCAAGTGATTGTACTGCACAAAGGTCGCGTTCTGGGGAAGGGAACCTTCGCTGAGCTTCAAGGAAAAGGCATCTTAAATACCACCATCGACCCACTGTACAAGAATGCTGCGATAGAGAACAAGTGTAATGACATGGTCACCGCAAGGGAGGATGAAGAGAGACGCGGAAATTTGAAGCCATTCACAAATAAAGACAATGAACTGGAAATATCTGTTGAAGATCGGGCAATCGGAACGGTGTCAAGTAAGCTTTATTGGGACTACTTCAGAAGTGGTATTCACTCATTGCTCATCATTGGAATGATTTTCTTGTGTCTTATTTCTCAAGGTGAGCACTAAAGAATTATAAAAGTGGCAAAAACTTAGCCATTGTTTGGTGCTGTCGAGCAACATTCTCTCTCGGGGCGAACGAGTAAGCAACCGACCAACCCAGTTTTTTTTTGACTTGGAGGAGCAAGAGGAAACTAGGACTGACGAAAGAGGCGTGCAAAGGGTGACGGGAAATTAATGTTAGGACTAACAACCAATCTGAGAGAGGTTGACACCTTTTAATCCTGACTTTAAAATTTTTTATTCCACCAGATTTAGACTGTTACGTAGATTAAGAAAAATTTATCTCACTTTCGCATATTTTTATCACACACATATATTTTTTCGCCTTTTTTCAGCATCGATGGTTGCCCCTGACGTGTGGTTGTCCTTTTTGACCAGAAAACTTCCATCAGAACAGAAAGACAAGACAAATCTAACTATCTATGGTGGTTTAGTCGCTGCTTCCTTCATTTTAGGCATCATCAGGGCCTATATTTTCTTTTTGGTTTGTCTAAGAAGCTCTGAGCGTCTTCATGACAAAATGGTTGTAGTTCTTTTAAAAGCGTCAGTTCTATTTTTCGATTCAAATCCTGTGGGTAGAATCCTGAATCGATTCTCTAAAGACGTGGGTTGCATGGATGAGTTATTACCATTACAGTTTCTATCTACAATTCAATTGGTATTGCTGTTGCTCTCATCAGTGATCGTTCCTTCTGCTACAAATCCTTGGGTTTTGTTCGTTACCGTTCCAGTGACGGCCATGATTCTTTACTTTGCAAGATTTTACTTGAAGAGTTCCAGAGAACTAAAAAGGTTGGAGTCAATATGTCGAAGCCCAGTCTTCTCTCACATATCAGAGACTCTCGATGGACTGGACACAATTCGAACAAGAGGCAGACAGAGAGAGTTTATAGAAAAGTTTTACAAGTAAGTTCGTGCAACTTTACAAGTGAGCTGGGAAACTCAATTCAGGCTCGAGACGCAAAACTTTCATAGTGCAGGGTTTATGTTTGGCATCTTAAAACATTATCCGTGAAAAACAGTCGTCCCTTCCCCCTTCCTTCCATCATAGCCATTACCTTCTCCCCCCTCCCTCCCCCCCCCCCCACCTTCGTCTTCCAACGATTTTAAAATTGTAGACATGGAATGCTGGGTTGATTGGGGCACTGAATCTTAAATTTTGTATTCGGTCTCAGCCTCGAATTTGCCCCTCTACCTGATCACTTTTTTTCGTTGGCGGTCTCGTGTCCAAATGTTTTTTTCCTTTTAATTTACATTCTGTATACCAAATCTATAAATCTGTTTCGTTCATCATGGTGGTGGCACCCTCTGTACGACGCTTAAGAAACTTGCTGCGCAAAATTGACATTTGAACTGGAGATGATTTACGTTGATGTATTTTCTTTCCCGTTGGACAGCTGCCAAGACACTTATACCCAGTCGTTCATGATGGTGATGCGGCGGTCTCCTCTCTTTATTACCCCCACCCCTACCCCCTTCGCAACGCTTTTTACGTTTTACTGAGTGAACAAGTATTTAGACTCGAGATGACTTAAGTTGATTTATTTTCTTTCCCATTGGACAGCTACCAAGACACTCATACCCAGTCTTTTGTCATGGTGACGGCGAGTGGCAGATGGTTCGGTGTTCGTCTGGATGCAATCATTTCTCTTTTAATAGGCTTAGTCGTCTCAGTGGTAGTTTTAGTATCTCAAGATGCTGGTATGTAGAGTTTCATCCGAAATAATTGCACCATTTCACGCTCGTGTACACCCAAAAGCTATGATATTCCATGTGATAAATAAGACTGTGAAAAGAATCTTTCCGCGCGTAGCTGGGAGACAAAAACAAGTCGTTGTAGCCCATTTTATCACTATCTTCATGAGGACGATTAATTTACAGATATTTTTCTCTATTTAGCTTCCGCTGGGCTTTCTCTCGCTTACCTCATTCAAACAGTGGCCCTGACGCAACACGCTGTCAGAAAATCATCAGATGTCGAGAATTTTATGACGTCAGTTGAACGAGTTATGACCTACACCAAGCTTGACTCTGAGCCTGGATACCAAGTGGACACGCTTCCCCCGGAACACTGGCCACGCGAAGGAAATATCACATTCCGCGACGTGTCGATAACGTATTACCCGGGGGGACCGAAAGCGCTGAGGAACATCAGTCTTGACATCAAAGGAGGCTCAAATATAGGTGTTGCAGGCCGCACGGGTGCCGGGAAGTCATCTTTTTTAGCAGCTCTTTTACGCATGCCCGATCCTGACGGAGATATTCTCGTGGATGGGGTTCAGATAAAGAACATTAATCTCCGAACAGCTCGAGGATGCATATCCGCTCTTGGCCAAACTCCGGTGCTTTTCAGTGGATCATTGAGGACAAATCTGGATCTTGTCAACCGCTTCAAAGATGCAGATCTGTGGCGGGTCTTAGAGGATGTGCAACTGAAAGATTTCGTTCAAAGTCTTGAGGGACAATTGGATTACGAATTGTTGGAAAATGGAGCAAATGTCAGTGTGGGAGAGCGGCAGTTGATTTGTTTGGCTCGTGTTCTGTTGCAGCAGAACAAGATTATCATCTTGGATGAGCCCACTGCACACGTGGATCCAGCCACAGAAGAAACAATCTGGAGAGTGGTGCGAGAGAAACTGAAAGACTCCACAGTAATAACTATAGCTCACCGTCTGAACACCATCCGACACTGTGACAAAGTATTTGTTTTTAAGGAGGGAGGGGTGGTCGAGTCTGGAAAGTTTGATACATGAAGACTGAAGCGTTTTACACCAGCCCTTTGTTGTTTTTGTTTTTTCTTAGAGTGAAATAGGATTGAGTGTCGTCAAATCAAAACTAAAGTTATCGGAATGGTCAGTTTACTTCCTGGCCGATATTCCAAGTATTGAAATGGAAGTGAGAGCACAAGTTTCTTAATCGTGGAATTTAAGGGTTTTTTTCTTTAATATTTAAAATAAATAGAAAAGCCTTTCTACCACTTTGTCATTAGCAAAGATATTGTGCGACTGTTTTCTTCTTTTTTCCAAAGGATTTGAATGTAATTCAATCAACTTTTCTTTTTCGGAGGTTATTTCTTCAAAACTAAGTGAAGGCCAAGAAGCATGAAAATATTTTCTTCGAGAGAAGGCGGATCAGTTTTAGTATCTAACCCTACATTAAGCCTAGAAAATTTTTATCAGTTGAATGTTGTTGGGTTAGGGGAGGGGTAGGTAGGCAGTTCCTCAGATACTGATTGATGCATGTAAGCCATTAAATTATACAAAAATAAAACGTATTTACTCAAGACCACCGGGAAGTACAGCGCGCAATATTGCTATAAAATTCTATTTCAAAAAGTGTCCCATTGTTTTAGCAGCAGTTATAGTACTGTAATTTATCCATCAATAGCAACAGAACCATCAAACCAAGCAGCAATAAAAAGTTTTGCAAACTTTTCTTTTTCGGTAATCAACATTTAGGTTTGATGTTTTCTTTTTTGTTTGTTTGTTTGTTTTTTTATATAAAAGCAATAAATGCCATATATAACAGTGCATTACCGAGCATGCAAGTCTCTCTTACGCTTTGAGAGTTTTACGTCTAACTTCTAGAAGGTAAAGTTCTAGACTTACTTGCTTGAAAATCTGAGATACAGAGAGCATTTTAACTTAATCTGAGCCCGCGTTAAGTCTTTGTCTTACCGGCTTTCCATCAAAATTACAATTTTCTGTTTCATAGAAATTTTTCTCAACTTTTAAACCCGCCATAAAGTTCAAAGCCTGGATAAACAGTTTGTTACCTTTTATTTCGCTGTGACCAAATGCCCGGCAGCCGGGCACGGTCTCGAATAGACTAAATGCCTGGCAGTCAGAAATTTTCACAGAATTGCAACCGAAAGGTTCTTTCAAACTTCTTAGAATATCAGAAATTTGTTCAGAAACGCCAAGCGATTTCAAAAATTATTTTGGCTTTTTAGTGGACACATACATCGCTCGGTTGTCGACACTTGAAAATTGTACGCTTCTGATCAGGCTGCCGCACACGGTAACAAGCTTTTGCATAATTATAAAAAACCCACTCAAACCTTTTGGGTGATTTGAATTAAGAAAGCGCTGCTGAACTTCTTTGAAGACTCGTTGTTTGACTTTAAAAAAAAAAAAAAAAAAAAAAAAACTTGTGTTTCATTATTCCAAATTGCGCTCGAAATCATCTGATCGCCTGTACCAAAGAAATTCTGTTTTACGATTTAAGTGCGGTCGTCTGTAGAAGAGTGTACATATGCTAATCAAGCTTTCTAACAAGGGATTTCTGCGCGCTTAGTTCCATTAGTGATCAGACTGCTTGCTGGTGTGTGACTCGTTTACGGAATTTTGTCGTTGGTGCAATTTCACCCACCCTGCTCCCTCTAGGGAAAAACAAGCAAGGTTAGCCGGTAAGTGTTTATCTCTTGATCTCTTGACCATTTCCAACTTTAATTTTAACCTTGCCCGGCTAAAGGGCATTTAGTCACTGCGTATTTTCAACCGCACTCGTGCATATCCACATGTTGGCAACTATTTTGAAGCAGGCAAAAATAAATGACTTAGCGGTTTTAAAACCTTGAATTTTCTTTCTAAGTCCCCTTTAATATCAGTTTCAAGCCAAAAACAAAGGAGAAATTGCACCGATTGATTTCTTTGTCCTTTCTGATTTCCTTAGGAAAAAAAATTCCCGGATAAATTTGAATATTTAAGCAAACGATCCACATTTTTAGCGGGCTTTTTGGCCAAAACTCACACTGAAAGTTTAGCTGAAATTACCAATGATTCCCCTTTCACGCTGTAGCAGGAGCATTTAAACTGCAAAAATAAATATCTGCGAGGCGACAAAAAGAAAGAAAATAAAGACCAGACGATGCCAAGTCTCTGGGAAAAAATACGTTACGTGACACAACCGTTGCATGTATTTTAATTTCGCTATTGACAACATTTCCCGTGTACATTTACATTTGCCAACAGAATTGTCACAGTGATAAAAATAATACTCTGAAGTTGGTTGTAGGTGGTTTTAGGTGGATTTTGGTCATTCCTTGTTTTAGTACCTGTGGAGACGACCGTTGCATCCATTCTCATCTCTAAAAAGCACGATCCCAGTATATCAGGGATTCCTGAATGCTACGAAATACACATTTGAATTCCAATAGCTATTGGATTGCACAGTGGGCTGAGAATTTCTTCTCTATGGTGGGATGTTAGAATCGATGATCAAACTGTGATAACCAGGTCTGTATGATGTTCAACTTGAGAAATTTACTTCTCCTCCCCTGAAAAAATGGAACGCCAGAGAATTGTCTTGAATTATGCGTTTTGGCACAGCTTTCCAAAACCCAGGCTTCTGATCCATTTTATTAACCTGAAGACGGGAGTAATACCATGGAGAGCGAGAGCTGGGAGGCAGAAGGCCACAAAAGTACTGGAGCCGAGAGAACATGGTACAGGAAGTGGGAGACTGTGACCTCCCCGTCCCCCCCCCACCCCCCCTCTTCTTGCATGGCACCACTAAGGGTCGATCAAAGAATGGGGAGACATAAATGACATAAAGTTGTAGAATATTGAAAAGTGCTCCACATTTTGTCAAGCATACAGGATAGAGGAATTTACAAGTCCTCACAAGGGTTATAACAACTTTAGAAAAATCAAAGAAATGTGTTATCTGGCCTTAAGACGAAGAAATATCTAAGTCTCCGACAAGGTATCCCATCCCAAACATGCGAATTATCCGCTCTGATGCTGTACAATGAACTCGATGGAGAGTTAAGCCATTATTAGGTTTATTTGTGACAAGCATCCTGTATATCGCTAGGACTGACAATGTCGAAGGTTCGGTAGTGAAATAAAAGAAGACTTTATCACGAGATGTGAAATGAGAGTGGGACAAAAAAATCTGATTCTTTTATGAGGAAGGAGTTTATCCCAATCTCTCACACTCTATTAACATTAAAAGTGCTATTTAGTTCATCATTTTTTCAAATTTGATGTAGCAAAATGCGAAGCGTGACTTGGATTTATTAGTGAGAGATGATGATATTGATCATGTTTCATCGTTCTTCGGCTAAAGGTTTAGAGCTATGGCACCAAATGGTTACAAGAAGATCTCCTCCACCAGTGACTCTGCCGAGAAAGTAAGTTTTGTTTCTTTCCTCTTGTTGCAATGGATGAACGATGTCATGAAGACAGGCAGTAAACGAACCTTAGAGGAAGGGGACTTTGTACCACTCTCAAACGAGAACACCTCACAGTCAGCCACAGAACTTCTTGACAAAAAATGGAAAGAAGAAGTAGCTAATTCCATTAGGAAGAAGAAAACACCGAAGTTGTGGAAAAGTGTCTTGAGGACGATTTCCCTCAGGGAAGCTGTTTTCGTTGTTTGCTGTGATGTCTTGTTCGCAATCGGCTCCCTCCTTTCGCCATTGCTCGTTGGACATCTGATTTTTATGTTAATGTCACCTGAAACACATCAGAACAACATCCTTCATGGATGCGTTTTAGCAATTGCGATGGCTGTAACCACTTTGGTCGGGAGCCTCGGAATGCAACATTACGGTTACGCGGGTGAAATAATGGGCATCAGACTGAGTAACGCAGTGCAAGGTCTCGTTTACAGGAAGGTGAGCACAAGTAGGGTAGCTGACTCGTCCCAAGCCTTCTCCATAATGTGCACGGCGTTCACGTGGGGAAGAAAGGGGTGATGGGAAAGAGAAAAAGGCTCTCTGACTTTTTCCCATCCTGTTGCACTTGCCTGTGTTAGTTGCCGACACCGTTGCTTTGAAGAAGATTGGGGACGAGTTAGGGTAAGGTTGGGTTGGGTAATGGGAAAGGGCGCAATCTTCGTTAATTCTCTCGACACTTTTTCCTTCGCTTTTCGATACACTTTTGTTATTAACCCTAGATTATGGAGTAGTCAGAGAAAGTTTTCAATCCAGTGTCTAAGTAGGTTATTTAGGACTGCATTCTCTCTTTTCTTGGCAACACTGTGAATCCGCAAGCCAGTATTAACACGGCGGAAAGGAGTTATCAGCATCGGAAATGTCTATGCCCAAGCTGAAGCTTCTATGAATTCATACGCTCTCGCAAACCTAAATAATAAGATTTTTCTTGGCACCTTAAGACTCCTCCAGTTATGCCTCTGTTTTGGGAGCGTGAGAGTTGGTTCAATCTGCTTGGATCAAGCTTGAATTCTCGATCTCGCGGGTGACAGTCGGCGTTCTAGCAATTAGGCTAAACTCAAGAGGCGGTCCTTATTAGCTCCTTAATGCATGCGATGAGAAAATGATTAGGAATTGAACTTTAAAAGTGCGAGTTTGTCTCTTCGTTTCCTCGGAGATGAGTAGAACTTGGTAATCACTTTCGAACTAAGCGCACTCGAAAAGCACTATCCACCTGCTATACACTAATCATCTTTAGTATATACTAGAACAGTGGATAACGTTGAAGGCGCGCTCTGATTGGCTACTCAAACTCCAAATATCCCTTGCTATTCACCTCTGAGAAACTTGCGCGGAATTTTCGCCTGAAAATCGTTGCAGGAATAAATGAGTTAAAATCATATTTTGATTTTTTTTTCTCACTGTTTTAGTATATACTAGGGTAATTACTAACCTCAGTTTCGGTGGCTAACGGTGGGTATTTACCTCGCCATTTTGCAGCTCAAAATATATCTACCACTAGCCACCTTTACTTTGAGGAGTGGTGGTTAATAATTCTGATTGCTTTCTGCACTAAACATGGGTTTTCCTTTTCAAGAGATCAATTCTAGTATTGATATTGTTTCATTCTCAGATCTTACTGCTTAGCAAGAGCTCATTGTCAAAGTTTTCAGCGGGGCGTGTGATCGACCTGCTGTCAAATGATGTTCAGCGGATGGAGACAGCACCTAAATGGATTTTAGCAATAAATTCAGCCATACTCCAAATTGTGCCTGCAACGTTTATAATCGCGTATCTGATTGGTTGGCAGGCTCTTATGGGAGAGATATTTCTCTGGCTTCTTCTACCGTATTACGCAGAGATGTCTTCTGTCAATGCCGCACTACGTCTGCGTTCAGCGGCGGAATCTGATATGCGAATTTCTTTGACAAATCAAGTGGTTTCTGGGATACGTGCTATCAAAGCGCGTGCGTGGGAGGATGAATTCAGAAAAAAAATAAAACACACACGAAAGTAAGGGAAATTTAAAAACCTATTTAATTTTTTCAGATAACAGCAGAACATCTTCGCACCGATACCTTTGGGTGAACGGAGTGATAGTATTGGTTTACTGGCGTGATAACTCATGCAAGATTTTGGGAGAACACTCCAAGAGTTAATAATTCACAAACTTAACATTTATGGGTGGCGAGGGTTGCTGTGAGGAAGGTTGGAGGTCATATTTAGGAATCATTTGTGATCATGGTGATGTACAGTTTATTGTGCTTTGCTTATTGTAAAATTTGTTCAGTTTTCATTGAGTTTTTGGGTGTAAGAAACGATAGGTATCTGAACAACCACTGCAATAATTATGAGTGCTGAGTGAAGAGTGAAGACTGCAGAGTGCAGAGTTTCTGATCAGTACCTTCATTTTGTCCGAAAATGATAACAACAAATCTTTTTGTTTCTTTCAGACGAGAAATAAGCATCATCCGTAAGAAAAGTGCCATTCTCTCAGGTTTGGCTGCCTTGGAGTATACTTCAATACCAATCCTGCTGTCTGTTATTACTCTGATGCTTACTGGTCAATCCCTAGCACCAGTAAATGTTTTTATGCTCTTAATGTTTATTAACTTGCTAAGACTTCGAATTTGCTTTGGCATTGCGTATGGTGTGGTGGAGACACGGGAATCATTTGCATCACTCGGAAGAATAGAAGATTTTCTTATTTCAGAGGATTTGTCTTCCACCTCTGAGGATCATTGTCTACAAGGCAGAGGAACAGCTGAAGAGAGAAAGTCGGGCAAGTTACAAAACGATTCTACATCTATGAGCCAGTCGCATGTATCAGATGAAAATCCCCTTACTGATCAATGGATAAACCCTTCTAAGCCAGGAACTTTATGTGTGTCGCATTTAACATATAAAGAAGTAGCGAGGAAAGATGAATTTATTCTTCAAGATGTGGACTTTGTTGCTGCATCAGGAAGCTTGACAGTTGTCACCGGACCAGTAGGCAGCGGTAAATCAACTCTTCTCTCAGCGATCGCTGGCGAGATATCAGACGTAGGCGGAACAATAAACCGTCAAGGAACTTTTGTGTATGCACCGCAAATAGCCTGGGTGTTCTCTGGAACCTTAAGAGAAAATATTTTATTTGGAGAGTCGTGCGATGAACCAAGATACACCAGAATAATCGAGGCATGTGCCCTCACAGAAGACTTTCAGCAGTTTCCGAAGGGTGACCAAACCGTTGTTGGTGAGCGCGGTGCCGTTCTGAGTGGTGGTCAGCGTGCAAGAGTAAGCTTAGCACGCGCAGTGTACGTGGATGCAGACCTTTACTTGTTTGATGACCCTCTCAGCGCGGTGGACTTCAAAGTTGGTCGGCATATCTTTGAAAAGTGTATCAAGGGTTTGCTTGGTGAGAAGACCCGCCTGTTAACTTCTCATCAAGAACAACATATGAAAGATGCAGACCGAGTGATTGTACTGCACAAAGGTCGCGTTCTGGGGAAGGGAACCTTCGCCGAGCTTCAAGGAAAAGGCATCTTAAATACCACCATCGACCCACTTTACAAGAATGCTTCGACAGAAAACAAGTCTAATGACATGGTCACCGCAAGGGAGGATGAAGAGAGACGCAGAGATTTAAAGCCACTTACAAAGAAAGACAATGAACTGGAAATATCTGTTGAAGATCGGGCAATCGGAACGGTGTCAAGTAAGCTTTATTGGGACTACTTCAGAAGTGGTATTCACTCCTTCTTCATCATTGGAATGATTTTCTTGTGTCTTATTTCTCAAGGTGAGCACTAAAGAATTATAAAAGTGGCAAAAACTCAGCCATTGTTCGGTGCTGTCGAATGACATTCTCTCTCGGGGCGAACGAGCAAGCAAGCAGCCAAGTCAGAAACTCCAACCCAGTTTGTTTTTGTCTTGAAGGAGCAAGAGGAAACTGGGACTGACGGAAAAAGGTGTGGAGAGGGGGATGGGAGATTCATGTTAAGACTAACAACCAATCCGCCATTTATGAGAGAGAGGTTGATGTCTTTTAAACCTGAGTTAAAAACTGTTTATTTCACCTGATTTAGACTGTTACGTAGATTATGAAGAGAATTGTTTCACTTTTGCGTATTTTTATCATTCACCATATTTTTTCGCCCTTTTTTAGCATCGATGGTTGCCCCTGACGTGTGGCTGTCCTTTTTGACCAGGAAACTTCCATCAGAACAGAAAGACAAGACAAATCTAACTATCTACGGTGGTTTGGTCGCTGCTTCCTTCATATTGGGCATTATCAGGGCCTACATTTTCTTTATGGTTTGCCTAAGAAGCTCTGAGCGGCTTCATGACAAAATGGTTGTGGCTCTTTTAAAAGCGCCGGTTCTTTTTTTCGATTCAAATCCTGTGGGTAGAATCCTGAATCGATTCTCTAAAGATGTGGGTAGCATGGATGAGTTATTACCATTACAGTTTCTAGCTTCAATTCAGTTGGTATTGCTGTTGCTCTCATCAGTTATCGTTCCTTCTGCTACAAATCCTTGGGTTTTGTTTGTTACCGTTCCAGTGACGGCCATGATTCTTTACTTTGCAAGATTTTACTTGAAGAGTTCCAGAGAACTAAAAAGGTTAGAGTCCATATGTCGAAGCCCAGTCTTCTCTCACGTATCAGAGACTCTTGATGGACTGGACACAATTCAAACAAGAGGTAGACAGAGAGATTTTATGGACAAATTTCACAAGTAAGTTCGTGCAACTTTCCAAGTGAGCTGGGAAAGTAAAATCTCAAACTCAATTCAGGCTCGAGACGCAAAACTTTCACAGTGCAGGGGTTGTGTTTGGCATCTCGAATCATCATCCGTAAAAGCCCCTATCTCCTTCCTCCTTCCTTCCATCATAGCCTCTCCCCCCCCCTCCCTCCCCCCTCCACCTTCCTCTTACAACGCTTTAAAAATTGTAGACATGGAATGCTTGGTTGATTGGGGCACTGGATTCGGTATTCAGTCCCAGCCTCAAATTCGCCCCTCTACCTGATAATTTTTTTTCCTCGGCGGTCTCGTGCTTACTATTCTGCTACGTCGTGTTTTTTTTTTCCAATTTACATTTCGTTTACAAAATTTCGTTCATCATGGTGATGGCACCCTTTGCGCAACGCTTAAAGAACTTGTTGCGCAGATTTGGCATTTGAACTCGAGATGATTTACTTTAATTTTTTCTTTCCCTACGGACAGTTACCAAGACACTCACACCCAGTCCTTTATCATGGTGACGGCGAGTGGCAGATGGTTCGGTGTTCGTCTGGATGCAATAATTTCTCTTTTAATTGGCTTGGTTGTCTTAGTGGCAGTTTTAGTATCTCAAGATGCCGGTATGTAAAGTTCTAACCAAAGTAACTGCACCGTTACTCGCTCATGTACATCCAAAAGCTGCGATATTCCATGTGATAATTCTGTGTAAAGAATCTTTCCGTGTGTAGCGGGGAGACAAAAACAAGTCGTTGTAGCCCATTTCATCACTATCTTTATGAGGACGAACTGAGACTAGTTTAATTTTTAAAAAAATTTTTTTTAAAGTAATTTAGTTTATCACACGAGTAGCGTCGCGGTAGCAGGTAACCGCGACGTGCTGTGTCGTATCGAGTCGTGCATAGTTTTACCGTTAAATTTTTGGTAATTTTTTCTGCGTGACTTGAAGGAAATCAACAGTTAATTTACAGATTTTTTTTCTATTTAGCTTCCGCTGGGCTTTCTCTCGCTTACCTCATTCAAACAGTGACCCTGACGCAATACGCCGTCAGAAAATCATCAGATGTCGAGAATTTTATGACTTCGGTTGAACGAGTTATTACCTACACCAAGCTTGACTCTGAGCCTGGATACCAAGTGGACACACTTCCCCCGGAACACTGGCCATGCGAAGGAAATATCACATTCCGCGATGTGTCGATGACGTATTACCCAGGAGGGCCTAAAGCGCTGAGGAACATCAGTCTTGACATCAAAGGAGGCTCAAACATAGGTGTTGCAGGCCGCACGGGCGCCGGCAAATCATCTTTTGTCGCAGCTCTTTTGCGCATGCCCGACCCCGACGGAGAGATTTTGGTGGACGGAATTCAGATAAAGAATATCAATCTCCGAGCAGCTCGCGGATGCATTTCCGCTCTTGGCCAAACTCCGGTGCTTTTCAGTGGATCATTGAGGAAGAACCTGGATATTATGAAGCGTTTCCAAGATGCAGATCTGTGGCGAGTCTTAGAGGATGTGCAACTGAAAGATTTCGTACAAAGTCTTGAGGGACAATTGGATTACGAATTGTTGGAAAATGGAGCAAATGTCAGTGTGGGAGAACGGCAGTTGATTTGTTTGGCTCGTGTTCTGTTGCAGCAGAACAAGATCATCATCTTGGATGAACCCACTGCACACGTGGATCCAGGGACAGAAGAAACAATCTGGAGAGTGGTGCGAGAGAAACTGAAAGACTCCACAGTAATAACTATAGCTCACCGTCTGAACACCATTCGACACTGTGACAAAGTTTTTGTTTTTAAGGAGGGAGGGGTGGTCGAGTCTGGAAAATTTGACACATGAAGACTGAAGCGTTTTATAACTGATATGGCACGGTTTTTATAAGTAACTAGTTATGATTAGTATCCTTTCATTTAATGTGTGGTTTCGCTGAATCAAAACCGAAGTATTCACTACGGCCACGGTCTATATAGTCTCAAAAAGAGGGAACTGAGAGGGAATTTTTTTAAAAGTTATAATCGATATTTAGGGACACATCGAAAAGCGGTGCAGCGTTTTGAGTAGTGGCATTGGGAAGGAAGGAAACTGTCCTTATACTTCCTCTGAGTGTTACTTCGCGAAAAGCGATCCAGATGAAACCTGCAAATTTTGTTCAAATCAATTTTGCGCTGAGCTTGCGATAATTTCAAGGCCAAAAAGTTGGGTATCAGTCCCACACAATTAAAGGTAGGATAGAGCGTGTTTCCGCCCTGTTTTACGCCCGCCTCTGTTAGTAGTCACCTGCTTGTTTTGCAGGCTAGGAAAACCGGTTTAAGTTTACTGTCAGCCTTCTAGGGAAATTGATTTTAATCAAAATCATCTTACCGAACTGCAGCTTTTCCGAAGTTTCTTTCAGCATTTAAAAATCCTCCGCAAATACGAAAATCAGAGTGAGGTCAATCAAACCATTTGAAACTTTCCTCCCATTTCATTTTTCAATTAAGCCTTATTTTGATGTAATTTACCTAGTTTCCCTTCCTATATGCCTTGTAATTATATAAAATGGAGCCTTTGGCCATGCAGTGAAGGAGAAATTCTTCAGTCGAGCTTTCTTTGGTAGTCTTTTAAGATTGGTGTCAAGTACTTTAGTTCACCGAAAAGAGCAAAATACTTCAATCCAGTTATTTCACATCAGAAACGTCATGTTTTCACAACTTTTCCCAAGTGCTATAGAATCATCTTTAAAACGACCAAAAAAAATTTAGAAACCTTAGTCGGGTTAGCAGACTATGAACAAACTTTGTTCAACAAGAACCAGGATTAACAACTACGAAAGATAGTCATCTTAATCCTTTCACTCCCAAGAATTCATCTGTAATTCTCTTTACTGTCTACCATACAACTCTTATGATGTTACTTTGGAGATTTTGGTATTGGATCAATTAATTTTCCTCAAGTGATTTTTTTTTATTCTCATTACTTGTCTATTTAATATCGTATTGATACTTTTAAGGAGAAATTTTGTCTTGGTCACTTATACTTCAGTGGTCTCCTATTCCTCATGAAAACCTTCATCTTCTGATTCATCAAAGTTGTTATTATCATGTTCTTCTATCCAAAGTTGCATCAACTCCTCAATTTGGAGATCGGATTCGTCAAGTTCGTTCCCGTAAGCCTCAAGCGCCAGAACACCAAAACCAATAAAAACGCTCAAAGCAGCAGCAGCGATAAATTTAGGATTACGGTGTCTTGCAAAGTGCTCAGAAGCAAGAACGGCATAAACCGTGCCATATCCAAAATGAATGAAAACACTAGGATCAGTGGTTCCGGGACGATCAGGTAAAACACCAGCAAGAACAGGATGAAGAGCAGGAACAGTTCCATCATCGACAAGAACACCTTCACTATCAATCATGTAAGGAACAATTCTGTATGAACCTGGAGCGACATAACCATCAATCCCAGCAGCACAAACCTCAGCCATGTCAGCGAGAAAATTATGCACCAAGAAGGGCACCTGCTGAAAACTTGAAGCAACAAGACGATTCCCAGAGTCAATGAAACCATTCACCCCTGTAGCAACAAAATCCAGGCAAGCCTGAAATATCCTATCGTAAATGTCAACATAAACATTAAATCCAGTAGCAACAACAGCACGAACCATGTCAGCACCCTCAGCTTCATTAGCAGCAGCCATAATTTCATCAAACCCATCCGCCCCTACATCAACAACATTTACGAGTGTTTCAAGAAACCCTTCCCTAAGAGTCTCGACTGCACGCGTAGCGTCAAGCCTTGCAATATTTTTAACCATGTTAATTCCAGCAGCGATAATGTCAATCGTAGAAACGACAACAGCGTTCATCTCAGCAATAATTTCATTAGCCACAGAAGGGACGTCATTAATATCAGCAGCGGCTCCATCAACCACAGCATCAACATCATCAGTAACAACACCCAGATCATCGATCGCAACCGCACCATCATCAACCCCGGCCGGACCATAATCAACCACAGCATCATCGTCATCGACCCTAACAGCAAAACCATGACCCACAGCGGCACTAACACCTTTAAATCTAGCCGTAACATCAACCGCAGCACCAGCGTCGACAGCAATGTTATCATGACAGGACTCCTTCACTGCAGACAATCCATTCTCTATGACGAGCCTCTTCAAGTCCAGTTTCTTTGTTCCCTCGAAGGACGTTGTATTGTTCTGCTCTCTTAGTTCTTGGTCGACTGATTTAAGGATTCCGCATCCTGGACCTTGATATCTTTTAAACATGTCGAATTTATTCCAAAAGGAACTAGATCCTTTAAATTCCTGGGTAACATTTGTAGCCTCTTTTTCTTCCCGTTTCCCATCTTTTTGTGTCTTCTCGCTCTCCAAAACTGAAATTATTACAAAAATAACCTGATAACGGCCGTGATCTTCAATATCTATTTTTTCGTAAATAGATTTGTCTGTATTCTTGTTCGAAACAAATACCTTTAATACAGCGCTCATCTAAAACACCTGACAGAGAAGCCCATTGTTCGTTTCCAAATAGGGGTTAACGCACGCTAATGCTGTTTCCTTTCCACCCGCCCCTTAAGTTAGCCTTCGTCAAGTTTCCAGGCGTCTCTTGTTCGTTCACGCGCACCCAATTTACGCTTCGTCGTGCGCGCGCGTTTAATGTACGACTTTTTGAACATGACCATAGGAATAGCAAATTTCTAAAGAGATTAAATATGTAGACAATCACGAGGTTTAAGAGACAGAGGCAATCGATCGCCCTCGCGAGTTTCAAGCAGTTCCATCTTATTAGTGATACGTTTTTAGCTCGCTACGTTGACATCTCGGAAATTTTCACGTCACGTATCTTAGCAACTAAAGATAAATAAACAAAGAAGTAAATAAATTTTTATCAAAGAGCAGTCCATTCTTCAACGCCGTTTTTTAATATTTTACCGCATCGCTGTCTCTTACGAATGCAGCGCGCCACTAAAAACGCCAATTCTTCAATTGAAGACCGAAGTAATTACGTAAATAAAAAGAATTCTTACCTTGATTTCCGAATGTAATAGGGAACTTGTAAACCTTTTTTCTGGAAATAAAACCCACAGTGAGGACAGTTAAGGCAGTAGCGAAAATCTGGTGAAAGCCGACTGGCCGTTCCTCGTATTCTTTCTTCCTTCTTTGCCGAATATCAATAATTCGGTCAAGTTTTACCTAAAATGAGAAGAACAGGATTTACCCACGCACGGACTGAACAAAGCATCATAAACTGTAACCTCTCAAAAGAAGAAAACACTTATCTATAAAAAAAAGCAGAATTCACACCAACCATTTCGGGGAAGTTTTTAGTGCGCTCTAACACACGAGCAAAGTAATTCTCAACCTTTTTTGCTCACGATAACTCATTAACTGTTCAGCTGTAAGCTGGAGCGCAATCTCTTACAAACTTGCACACTCGAGCAAGAAAAGTGATCTCTGCTTTTATGACGTTTGCATTTATTTTGGCGCGCTCTGTTCGTTCGAATTTTTGCGCATGATGTAATCACCGTAACCTATCGAAACAGCAACTATCGATTATCTCTTAAATTCAATTTATTTCACTTGAACACTTTTAAAAATTAGGAAACACTCTTATTATCTTAAACGTGCTATCAAAAACCGATTACAGGGAACCCAAAACATTACTTCAGTAAGTAAACCATCTTTCGTTGAAGCCTGTTACCTCGGAATTTTGGCTCTTTAAGATATCGGCTCTCAGAATTCATCGCATCTTTTAGCCTGACTCCATCTCCAACGGTGAGCAGCATAGAAGAACAGGTACAGAACCCATCACCCAGCAGGTCCAGAGAAGAAGATGGCGATGGATCGGCCATAAGCTCCGAATGCCACCATCAGCCCTGCCCCGAGTCGCCCTCTAATGGGTTCCCGACGGCCGACGAAAGAGAGGCTGTTGAAAAATAACTTGGAGGAGAACCATACAGAGGAAAATGAGGTACAGAGGCTGGATATGGAGGCCGCTTGACCGACGAGCAACCGACAGAAATTAATGGCGTTCTCTTTCCGAAGCCTTATGTGCATAGACGCATGAAGAGGACTAGCTAACTTTTACAGAGCGTTGCAACGCCATAAGTGGCGGCTGTTCCAAGTAATTTAGATTTCTCGAAGAATGTGTTTTTGCAGTAGAGGAAGTGCGCATATTCTGCTGTGTGAAACGAACATTTTGACGGTGTAGACTTGGGAAAGTAAAGACAAAACTAAATTTTTCGGAATTAATTAAATTCATTATCAGACTTTGAGACAGAAATACTGAAAAATAGAAGGCCACATGTACAGATTTAATTAATCTCGATCGATCATTTATTTGTTGGAAAGAAAATTGAATTAAACTCAACAGAATTTAGTGCGCAAATCGACGAATTCCTCAACCTTCTAATTAAAAGGAATTTGTCAGCAACTTCAATTTAATAATTCTAGACTTTATTACAAATTTTCATAGCAAAGGTCTAAATATCAAAGACACATATTCAACCATAAATTCTCTTTAGAGGTTTCAGCGTTTAAATTTTAAAAGATGTTACTATGGCGTTCCGAAGAATCAGTGCACATCCAGCCATGGTCGAGAAAACAGTAAGAGCTATGATAGGCAAACTGTGTTCCATTTGTCCAATGGGGACCTGTAGAACAAGGCTCATGCTGGACTGTGACTGATCCTGAAGAGAAAGAAGGGAATTAGACGGTGCTGGTATACTTTAATAGGGGGAGAGAAAAAAAAAGAACTAAATCATTCCATGTTTCAGTTTCATTCACCAAACACGACGATTTTGACATGGCTGAATTGAACAGTAAACAGAATGGCCTTTTCTACCGATCAACTGCTTTTGACTTTACGTGTTTGGAAATCGAAATTCGTTCACAGCCTGTGTCAGTTCACCCTCTATCCAACCTAAAGGGAGGTAATTCAGAGTTTTAGTTCAACCTTCACCCAACCAGAAAAGGCCTTAATCACGAGAGGATGCAAGATGAAAGACTGCCTCTAAGAAGAAGGGATTTCAACTTGAGAATGCCAGGATGTGTGATGCCTTTAACTAACGTAGGGATAGATATTGTAGATAAAAACCTTTCATTCTCTGCAACAATACCTTGCTCATTGATTTTAGTACAATCCAGTCACAGGTTGATAGTCGTTTTGCACCACAAGGAGCTTGTATCAAGTCACTTTCACAGCGATTAGGTGGAATGACGACTCCTGTACGCCAAAAAAAAGGAGAGACATCAAACAATAATTTCAAAGGGCGTGTAATTGAAAGAAAAAAGGGCTTCTCCCGACTGAGAACAAAAAATTCCCGAGGACGAAACTTTCAGCGTCTAAACCCTTAGATGATATCAGACCCCACAATCAACATTGTCCCCCAGTTAATAGCCCTTTGATATGATAACTGAGTCGACAACTTGATATAAGTATGGTTACTCAGACGATAATAGATTTGCGCATGTTCTCACCTGCTGAAAGGTTTGTAGTACTCTTTAAAGCACACATTTTGAGAATGACCATAACGAAATTACATATTGACGATTTTGGAGATGGAGAACAAAAGAAAGTGAATTATGTTGCTCAGAACCATCAGTCCGTGAGGATCTTTCCTTTTTACGGACTGAGCTCTTGGCTCTTTGGGTCTGAGTTTTCGTCACATCCCTCGGAACACAACAAGTTGCAAAGAGGACTTCATTATTTTCGCTGGAAGACCCGTGTTCCTCCGCCCGCAGGAATTTTTAAGGCAAGTCGGGGAGAGGTTTGCGGGGAGTCTGGCACTAATATCGCTGCAGGTCGCGCGTTTTTCCGCGCGAGGGAAAAGTCTGGCATTGCTAAACCTCTTGTAGATCTCTCGCAGGTTCGCGCAGCCCAAGGCCTCCGGTTACGCTGTATTGACCACACCACATAAAATTGCGAATCGACCGCTTTCAAGGACCCTAACACCGCAAGAAATAGAACGTTCCTATCTAGTTTTCGACCGAAAGTGGAACTGAGATGTAAAGAATCCCTACTTTCTCTTAAAACACGGCAACATCAGAGGAACTCCTTGTTTATGTTCCAATGGTGACGTCACTAACCCTCGTCCCCAGGGCTCTCTCTTTTCGCGGAACCCGGAAACAGGTTGTTGTGTACTCTTCACTTACTCTCGGATTGAAACAGTCTCATGCTCGCTTGGAGCATGGAAAATACAGAAAATTAAGACGACTTATAAGCTGACATATTTCAAACCCCCCTTATTTAACAAGGAAACATCAATACTTGAGCAGACATGTCAGAAGCCTGATCGTGATGTCCGAGCAGAGCGGTATGTCAGATGTTCCAGCAGAAATTAATGATCTTTGTTTATCAGGTATGTTTGGAAAGATCATTTGTTGTGTTTTTGGCGCTACCGTGCATGTAAAAAATTCATAGGCGTTACTAATGGTACAGAAAAAATCTTCGAAACTTCACTCCGGGCTTGGGGTAATGTGATGTTGATGAGGACCTTGTTAACACAATGGATGCAGTATGGCTCGCGATCACGTTTGCTGGAATTATAATTTCTTACTTTAAGTTAGCTTAAACTTTTAACACTGAGGAGCATAGACGCTGCAACCCCTTAAAGATTATAAAAAAGGTATATGGGTATTCAATAAGAATTGATGAAGGTTTCGTTGTTTATTGCCAGGGCTGAAATGTGTTTTATTCGTTCGTATTATCAGCAAACCAGACGAATTGTAAGGGGAAAAAAACGTGTTTACAAGACAAAATCGACTTTCTAATGATCTTCCAGAGTTTTTTTCGCTTGGCATGGAAAAGTACCAAAATTTTTTTAAGGCTAACCTTTCTTGAAAGCTGTAATCAACATTAGAATCCACCCTATCACCACACTTGATCTCTCTCTGACTCTGCAAATCCCACACCAATTTAACGTTTCCTAAACTTTGTTATTTGCAGTGCCATTTGTAGTAGAGGAATGGGATGAGAAAGCTAACCTCTCCCCACATCATTTGTCTTACATCATCACCATTCTTCTGCCCCAGCGACTGGTAACTTTAGAGCGAGACATTGACATAGAATCACAGCTCAAAGCATTTTGTGAAAAGAAACACATAAATAATGCAATACCCGTTGGCAGTTCAACAGAAGGCTTTAGTATTCCTTATTCTATGTCGTATGAAGTAGATTCTCATCTTGGCACTTATGTTGATGCAGATGTACTGTTTGTTGAGAATGATTTCCAGATATCCACAAATGATCCAATCCAAGATGTGGATAACCAAGCCATATTAGAATCTGATGATGTTCATCCAGGTTATTGCAGAGTGAGGCTACTAAAGCACAGTGAGGATCGAAAAGATGTTGTGACTTGCAATGATAAAAAATACCTGAGCGGACACCGAATTCAGAACTCAGTTCTCAAGAAGATGACCAGTGGAAGATCTAGAGATGACCAAACATCCATTGGTATTCATGGTCCAGCAGTGTCAGTTGAGTATTCCACTGTCTTAAATGCTGACAATATACAAACCTATGGTGTTAGGATTCCGCTTGACATGGTTTATGCAGTTCAGGTCAAGCAGTGGCCCCCAGAGGCAACTGAATGGGTCCAAAGAGTGAAAAAAGGAAACTGGCTTGGAGATGATTTGATTGAATCCATTGTGTCAGAGGGATGCCATGTTGTGCCAGTTGCACACAAGCACAGCCTCAATCCAGACATAGAATGGAGAATTTCTTTTGCAGTTACAGAAAAAAGAATGGCAAGGAATGCTGTAACTGATGGTCAACGTCAATGTTATATCTATTTCAAAATGCTGCGGCACCTTTGTCTCAAAGATTTGGAGGTGATTTCTTCATACTGTTTGAAGACTGTGTTTTTCTATGCTTGTGAGGTTGTTCCAAAGGCCCTCTGGGAGACTCATACTGGACAGTGCTTGCTGTACCTGATTGATGGTTTGATTTGTTGTGTTCAACAAAGAAACATCCCAAGCTTTTTTGTACCAGGCAATAATCTCGTAGATAATGTGCCAGAGGAGAAATGGAAAGATGTGGAGTCAAGGCTCCTTGAAATAAGGAAAGATCCCATAACACCAATTTTGAAGTTTACAGACACAAATGCTATCAGCAATACAGAGATCCCCTTTGTTTTTCGAAAAAATGTTGCATTTGTTTTGGAAGACATGGAAAAGTTCAAAGTCCACAGAGACATTAGAAGTTCTGCATTTGATGCATTTTTCACAACCACCTTTAGAATGAGTCTGCTGTACTTAAACCAAGGTCAACCAAAAAGTGCTGTTCAGATTTTGATGGATTCGTATCCTATGCTTAACCATTTCCTTGGACCCATGCCACTTGTTTACTTTCTAAATGAAGCTGCAATCCTGATCCAAGATGGCCGGCTTTACCTTCTTTTATTTCAAGAGCTCCTTGGAATGACTGACCAACATCCTGATTTTAAGCTGCTAGAGGGAAATCTGGCTTGTGCATACCATGCAGCCTCTTACACCTATCCTGAGGAATCTTCAGAGAGAGCTGAATATCTCCAGAAGGCAGAAGAACTTATTCTGGAAGAATTGAAATCTCAAGACCTTGGTTCTTGTGGAACTCAGGTCACATTTGCCACCATTCTGATGTCACAGAAAAGATACAAAGAAGCAATACAAATCCTTGAAACTGTTGTGAATGTAGCCAGCAAAAGTGCTCAGGAAGAAATTCAAAGTGATGTGACAGAATTTGGATTCAGCGAACAAAAAGTGCTTGATGAAGATTTGCAATTGGAAATTTCAACTCATATGAAAATAGAAGGGCCATCCTTAATCTTCACATTTTATTTTCTGGTCAGATGTTTAGTACAAGAAGATGAAGTTACAAAACTAAAGTCTATTTTTGAAGAATATCAGAAGGTGTGTGACCTGTGTGAAGATATCACTGGATATAAACTTCTTGGTTATAGCTTCTATCAAGTAGGAGACAAGCACAAAGCAAAAGAAGCTTTCATGTCTGCTTTGCAGAAAATGCCAGGAAGCAAACTTCTGATATCAAACATTAAAAAATGTTCAGATTTACCCTTGGACCCTGAGAGTGACTAACATCTAATTTCTTCTTCAACATTACACCTGAATCAAACATTAAGGTCAGGAGAATAGAGGAAATGATCACATACTTAAGAAACTCTTGATTGTTAAACAAATTCTCCTTGTCAGCACTTACAAAAATGTATAGAGAACTGTATAGAGAATATGCATACTGATGTTAGGGTGTGAAGGATTGACAAAGTCTACCTCTGGTTGTTTACCTCACAAGATATGCAATCATGAAGGATGACAATTACAATTATGATGACTAAGGATTTATTTACTAGTGTCTTTTTAATGGTATTAGTTAACCCTTAAACTCCCAGGGGTGATTCACAAGTAACTTCTCCCTACAATATCCATACATTATCCAGCAAACTTGTAATGAGAGTACTCAAATGTATCAGGTAGAAGTTGTCATCTTGATCTAGAACCAAATTCTTGCAACTTATTTACAAGGAAATGTGTAGCAGCTAAAGGGGAGAATTAACAATCAGATCCTGGGAGTAATAAAGGGTTAAGCACCAGACATCTGACGATTCTTTGACCGGCCACTACACCGAATTCTTTAGCAACATGTTTTATTGGTACATGAAAAATCCCCCTCTTTTTCTCTATACTATCCAAGTATTATCCTGTCTATTGCTTTATTTCCTGAAAGAAACCCTCCCTTCGTATTTCAATATAAGCACAGATTCATTAAATTAATTATACAGAATTGTCCAACAAAGCTTTGCATCTTAAGAGTTTTACATACCATTAGTACATCTTCCAAGGACTTTTGGAGGTGGAAGTAACACTGTAGCAAATTTTGCATTACTAGCAGCCTCATGGTATCGTAGATGAATTGGAATGGTAATGTTTGCACTTATAATACTCACTCTATACAGAAATAAAAAATCTTGTTTTAAAGTGGTGAAAGAATATGGACACCAGGTCACAACTCTTATTCAGTCTATAATGGGAAAATATGGCAGGCATTTTTCATGGCTGAATAACTACTGAGAATGAATTTTTTGAACAAGTTTGATTTTCAGTTTTCATTGCTTCAAATTATGACAAGCACAAGGGAGAGGGGAAAAAAAGCCAAAATGAAAGAAAAGCAATAAAAAATTGAATGTCAACTAAGATTTGTGTTATTGTTGGCATTACATTTCATTGGACTGGAATAAAGTTATGGTCTATACAAAAAGGAAATAGATATAAACACAGAATTTTGCAGCATCCTACCCACTCAATTAGCCAACTATGCAATAAAAAACTCAGTGGTACATTTCTTTCTAACTCAAAACTGTCTTGTTTAATTCAATCATATTGATGAAAGGACCTTCTTAATGAAAAGTAAGGGACTTACTTTGAGTCAACAGCTATCCTTGGAAATACAAACATCTCACTTGAAAAGCTGTGATGAGCCAGGGCTTCAACATTTACACTCTCTTTAAATAATACCTGATGAGTGATAAACATGTTGAAAATAGCTTTCACAGTAAGTTTTCATGTAATCAGGATGTTTCTAATTTCCTATCACCTGATTATGATGTCTATACAACTGTCAATAAGTGTTTTTTTCTGGAAATACAAAAACTGTCTCAATAAACAAAGCTTTATTCCTCTCTCTTCGCAAGAACTTAATATGACTAAATGACTGATGTATGGTTTATCATTGTGCCCCACAAAGCAACATGCTCATAAATTGGTAGACAACAGAAACCCATGAAGCAAATGACAGAGAGACACTTGGTAAAGTTGTAACTCTCCCTCTGGTTCACTCACAGAGACATCTCTAAGCCCATCTACAACAGAGTAAAGATACTCTGCAAGCATCATCAAGTGTATGGCGTAAATATATTTTTGCTCTATAGGGCTGTTCAATTAAATATTAAGGATGGACCTTAATCAGACCCACACTAATGAAGTGCTTATCACAGAGGAAGACAACAAAATAAAAATCCGCCATTTAACACAACCTAAGTATCACTAGTAAACTTTGATCTGACCTCAGGGCCTCCAAACTCCTCTTCATTCTTGACCTGATCAGGATCAATGTAAATACCACTTGGGAATTGTTCAACCACCAAAAGTTGACAATCCAGCAGATTGTAATGCTCACCAAAACTGCTTAAAATGTCCCATTCAATGTAGGTAATCAGATCTCTAAAAATCAAACACGTTTTTCTCACAGTTATTAGTTGTCGTGGGGATTATTGAAGGCTTACATATAATAATGCTTGTAAACTAAGCACCAAATTTATTCACGTGTATCCAATTTTATAGCGTAGATTTTATTCATCAATCCGTTGAGCGAGGAGCGGGATTGAAAAATATCGACAAATTTCGGAAAAGAACGAGTTATCCTACAAAATTTCTATATTGTTCTAACATAGGAGCAAATTAGAATGACCATCCCAGCGTGTAAACTGAATAAATAAAACAGAAAAGGGTGCAAACTAATTCAGACAGACTCATAGCCACAGAAATGCTACTCTTTGCAATTTCCTTGATCCATAAAAGTATATAATCTGATACTTAAGCTGATCATCGGTGGAGATTAGCCCAATTCGTTTTATAAACACAGCTGGCAACTTTTGACATGTGTAAGGCGGCTGTGAAAATTCTGACCTGTGAAACCCTGACTTTTGCTGCGTTCTTTCCACAACTGCCTGGTCGCAGATCTTTTCACTCGATGTACAGGATTCAAGCGATAAAAAGAAAATGAAAATAATGGACAAGAGCTTTGTTTCTAGAACAGCTCTACAACACATTTTACGAAACATTGCACATACAGGATGCTACTAAATAATTGTGAAGGAGATTCCCTGGAAATGTGCGAGGAAGCGTCGCGCATAGGATTCAAAGGAAATCACCTGACCAAATCAGCAGGCTCATAAATTGCACGTGAAAGATGGCGGATCTTCGAGAACCTTTCGAACTGTGTAAAGTCTTGCAAAATGGCTCGCTTATTGGAATATCAAGACTAACTGGAGATGAAAATGTTCTCCTTACGTTTAGTGATAGAAGAGTTCTTGTTTACAATGTGAGTATGGCAACACTGAGGAGAGAAGTTGAAGAGTAAATGCCCATTGAAACTTAAAGTTGTCCTAATTCCTGTGGATGAAAATCCAAGTATTAATGTAATGCTTTTTTGTTATCACATAGCTGCAACATCAGAAACTTATCAACAGCTGGTCCGTGGAACAAAGAGATGAAGTAACTTGTGCTGCAGTTTATAATCCTGTCGATAAAACTTTCCTGATGGCCGTAAATAAGACGGTATGACATCGAGCTACATGTGATGTTTATTTGTATACAATTTTGTAATAAGATCTCAACTCACCCGCCTTTTAAAAACTAAATCTAAATTTTGAAATAGACAAGGGAAGTGTTCATGCACTTAGTGAACCCTCTTCCAACGCACGTCAGGGCTCATTTAGTTAAATTTATTTTCAATATTTGTAACTAAAAAGCACATGGCCACTATAGCCACATCCTGTCTTTGAATCACAAATCAAACGTACCGTCTTTCACAATGAGATGACCTCTCACTGCTTCTACTTTTGTACTTGTCTTTATATATTTAGGAGATTTTCATGTGGAAAGAAACTGATTCAGATTTAAATTCATGTCAAAGAATCCAAGTAAGTTTTTTTTTGTATTTGATATTTATCATATATGTATAGTATAGGTCATACAGATCCTTGGATGATTTAACACAAACTTCAAAATAATCTTACATAACAATTGAGCTAACATGAAAACATTACAAGTTGCAAGATAACTAAGAAATAGACCTTAACCTTGTCTCTTCAAAGAGATATTTCTTGCAACTAAATAATTTGACATGTCACAACTTTATTTCACATTGACTTCAGAAACAAGACAAACCTGGAATAGTAATTTGTACTTGGAAAAAATGAAGTGTTTACCTATTATTATGATTTAGATACATTGAGGGATACCATCACAACTGGCCTCAGCAATTTAAAATTAAAGTGAATATTAACATATTTATATTTCTTTTAGTCAGAGAAGAATGTGTTTGGTCTCCATGTGTGGAACCATCTTAAAGTTGATCCACTTGTCATGTTTGAGGATGGGTCCTCAATGTTTTTGGCTGATCTTCTTCATAACAATGAAGAAAGAAAAGCGAAAAGGAGGAAAGCCATGAAGTGTACACATGAGTAAGTTTCTTTTGATAGGGAAACTGTCAAAGTTTGGAAGACATGGTCGCCTTTTGCCTAGCTAAGCTTGGATCGGCTGTTGTATAAACTAGCAATGCTTCTTACTACCTTATGCCCTTGGAGACAGAGCTGAAAGCACAATTAAATAAAGGGTGTTGATTTCTTAACCAATTAACTCCCAGATCAAATTTGTCATTCTCCTTATTGTCAGCCATGCAATTCTTATAATGTTAGTTCAGAGAATTTAGTATTGGATCAGCTAACTATCCCCAAATTAATATTTTTCTTTATTCTCATCACTCATCTGGTTGATATTGAAGTGATATTGTAAGGAGAAATTCTTTCCTGGTCACTCATGGGAGTTAAAGGGTTTAGAAACTGTGGTGCTTATTTTGGAAGGGGTATTATAACATAATTTGGTTTTGTCAACTGAGTGGATGAAATAAATTGACCACTGTAGAGAGATTCTAAAACTGATGTTTTGAGTGTTAGTGCATTGTCAGAGCAAACAGAGGAATTGTGATAATTCATGATATTTTTTTTATTTTTCAGCCTTCTTTGGACTTCTGTTTTCCATCACCAGAATCAACTGTCTTCTGTATCTCTAAGAAGAGATGTAGGTCTTTTAAATGTGTACCTAAATTTACATTGTAGTGATTTTTATTTAATTTGTGATATTCTTAGGTTTTGTTCTGTTCTTATTTTTGAGTCAATTTTGTGTTCATTATTTAGAAATTATCTGAATTGGCTGGGAGGATTTTGCAGTGATATTAATGTTAACTTATTTATTCTTGTAAGTATGGTGTCTTTCTCAAAAGTTTTGTCTTTCTTGTGTGCTCTCTGATGTTTAGGAAAAGAATGAGTACATTTTAAATGCTACAAATCATGGAACACCAGCTCACTGGAATCCAAAGAACCAGGCAATGGAGTTCAAATTAACACCTCCTGAAGAGGTAATGACTAAAACTTACTATGAGTTCTCCTGATCAAGTGTCAGCTACAATTCAGCATCTTAATGTATGAACAAACATTTAGAAAGTCACAGACTGAGAAATTTTGCATAGGCTTTTTAAAGCACGAGAACAAGCATTGGGTGTGGGAAAGCAATTTCTCCTTCCTGTCACCTTTTCCTCCTGTGTTTGTGTGTAATTTCAACTGGAGCTATTGGTTCACTTGGTCCATGGATAACAATGTAAGAGAGGATAGAAAGGCTGTAACCAATCTAAATTACACCTGAAAAACTAAATTTGGTGTTTAAAGGGGGCGTAGAAACTGTGGTCAGTGGGAGAGTATAACATGGTGATTTGGTTTTATCAACTGAGTTGCACCATAAATTGGCCACTGTAGAGAGTTCGAACCTGATATTTCAAGCATTAGCCCTTCATCATTTGCTCAGACGAAGGACCAATGCTTTAAACATCAGCTTTGACACTCTTAATGGTAATACCAAATTACTAAATTTGATCTTGTTTTGCTCATGCTGTTAATGTTTTTGAAAACACAGAAGAAAAGATAGATTAGAGTACCCAGCAATGTGCCTGATTAAAAAATTAGAAGTTAATAAACACAGCCAAGGAACCTTCTAACCTTGATATCTTTTGTGTTAAATTTGTGTTGATTGCATGTCAATGATAATTTTTAAAGATTCAGATTAAGTGATTTGATAGACCTCTTTCATAATGGAAAGTTTTATTTGCACCAAATTCTCATGCCTAAAATCACATGAAATGTGTGGCAGACAGAAGGGAGAGTTGATGTTTAGATCTTGGATGTCAAAGGGTTAAGAAGTGTACGCATCCTATTGTAGTGGCTGACGTTTTGAGTGTTAGCTCCTCATTGGAGTGATTGGAGGAATTGTGGGTTGTGTGTGGGTTTATATGTAGAAAATGGAGTTACTCTATGAGAAAACAAGAATAAATTAGTTGAGTGAAAAGTGCTCTTTGAGATGACTGACAGATGACTGTGGGGATTAAGAGTGCTGATTTAGAAGATAAATTTTTTTCTAGAGTTTTGCTGACATCAATTTAAATTGTGATTTTAGGATGCTGAGCTATTGTGTGGCTGTCTATATGAGGAAGGATGTCATTTAGTATCTTACTGTAAGTATTTAAGTAAATGAGTAGCTATCAAGCATTTACTTCTAAAATGATATAAGTGATAAACTAAACTTTTTTTCCAGTAAAAATTGAAAAATAAAAAATTAAAAGCTAGCCATACTAAGAGTGTTGTAGATAGGGCTTAAGTGGGAACCTTTTATGGGAATTCAAAATCATGATCTATTACCATTTTAAAGATCTAACCCCCCCAATTCCTCTTTTGTTGTGGTTTTCCCAGGGTCCAGTGGAGCTCTTTGTCTCACGGAGCTGGAAACAGCACTAGAACAGAAACAAGGTGGTGAAATACTGGTTCTTTCCTGCAAAGTAATTCAGAGGTTACAACCTCTGCAACATGAAAGTAATAAAGAAAAGGTATTACTGACAATTATGTTTTGTTATCAGTTGTATCTTTGATCATTACATGTATGACATCAGTACTGCAAAATGCTGGAGCAGAAATGTGGTAATCCAGTGATTGTTAGAATGCTGTACACTGATTAAAAAAGTTCAGGTTTAAGCCCATGGTTGGGATTGTTGTGTTGTGTTTTGAGACCAGAGACTTTCATTCTTAGAGTACCTCTTTCCAGGCACAAGTATAAATAATGTGCACAAGAGAACTAAGAGCAAAACATGCTGAAATGTTGGTGATAACCTGTGATGTAGTGTCATCCTATCCATAGAAAAGAGCAATGCTTCCCATCACTATTCTAGAGAATCTGATGTAAGCTCAAGTGAGAACACTAGCAGGATGTAGGGTGCTTGTGAACCATTCCTTACCCTTCACAGTTAATTTGTTATGGCCTCAACTGTTGTTTACCTTGTTTGGACCACATGAGAAATCTATGACATATGAAGCGAAAGAGGTTTATTGCCTCCTGGTCTCTCCTGGGAGTGAAAAGGATAATGATATTGTATACAACATTTGCCCTGTTTTCTTATTCAGAGGTGTGTAGCTATGTCAGCTGTAGACCTGGATCATATTTGTCTCTGTGGAAGCAGCATGATTGATGGAAAATTGAAAGGTACAAAGTCATATACATCATGTTACAAATAGTTAAAGTGAAAAGAGTAAATTATTATTTGAAGGGTGTTATCTTCATATCGCACCAAACTACATGTTTGTCTCTGTGGAAGCAGCATGATAGTTGGAAAATTGTTGCAAATAGTTAAAGAGGGAAGAATAAATTTTAATTGAAGGGTGTTATCTTCATATCACACCAAACTACACATTTGTCTCTGTGGAAACAGCATAATTGTTGGAAAATTGGATAGTGCACATGTACAAAGTCATATACATTATGTAGCGAACAGATAAAGAGAATGGAACAAATTATAATTTGAAGGGTGTTTCAAACCAGGTCTCTCCTTTTCAAAAATATGACAGATCTAAATGCAGTCTTTTTGCCGTTTCAGATGTGGTCATGATATGGAACATAAAGTATGGTACTTTGCAGTCATGGCAGACTTTGGACAAAATCATTGAAAAACAGAGTTCACTGCTCAGTTACTCACGGAGTAGAGGAGCAGGCTGTGTAT